AAACTGATGACAAATACCTCCTCCTTATTTGATATTTTTTGATAAAAAGTTACCTGCATGGGAGGGCGAATGGGAGCTATGGTTACCATCCATCTGAAAGTGCGCATTGAAGCCCTTGTGCATTGTCTTTCCATTGTTGTCACTCACGAACGATACATACATCTGATTGGATAAGGAGAAGATCTTCCCTGGAATGGTACTACCACAGAACCGACCAAGCAACTCACCGTAATCACCCAGCTTCCCATCTCTTATTTCTACATAGTCCTTTTTGCAGTCGTTATCACTGGTACGAGCATTATCCAGATCAAAATCCTTAAAGGTGAGTTTGACTCGAAATCCTTTAGGAACAACAAGGTGCCACTTTATACACTGACCTGGAATGTATTTTAATGGGTACTTGGGGCTGGAAATGCTCCCCCTTGTTTCGTTGATAATGTTGTTGTAATCCCAACATTTACTGGATTCCCATTCTTTCACTACCGTTATTTTTCCTTTGAAACCTTTGAATTCGGAAGAACCATCTGTACGAAATTGTAGCCAATATTCATTGTCAAAAGTCATTGAATCTGGGTTAATGCGAATATCTCTGGGATCAGTTTCGTTTAGAGTGGCAATGACATTTTTGGAGTACAATGTGCATTTTCTATTAGAGGTTGTTGGTAAATATTTTTCTCTGTGAGTATGCGACAACCAATCACACGAACAGCTCGTACAAGGTTCTATTTCCAATGCGTCAAACACCAAGATTATTTTATATTTTCCGCGCAGGTTCTCCATAGAATCAGGGAAAAATACCCTCCAAGTACAAGTTTGGTTAGGCTGGTAATTGTTTGGAAAACCAGGACTTTTGATCTCGTAGTTCCATCCAGGTTCGAGAGTAGCCTTTACATTGACCGTCTCCTTCGGGCAAGCTGGAAGAAGCAAACCTCACATTATCCAAAACTGAAGTACTTCATATTGTAAAATACTGAACTTAGCAGCACTAACTGAAATAGTTCTTACTTGTAGCAGTTATGCAGTCATCTTTTACCAAGTACAAAACCAGCACTGAAGAAAAATACAATTTGAAACAAATGAAAAATTCACATTATTCGAACGTCGCTATTTCGTAGCATGCCTTTCGAACCCAACCTACACATTCACTTGGACGATTAGTAAGATTATGTGCACACAAGACCGTTKAAATCAGCTCAGTGACATGAAGAAAACTTACCAGTTTTTAGAGCCAAGTGAACATACATTGTCACGGGCTTCAAGTTGAATTGTACACTCACACCGGTCTCAAGGCCAGTTTTGTCTTGGTTATGACGTCATATAATAAATCGGTTTTTCTGTTTTCATTGGTAGCGATGCGATCACGTGATAGACATATTAGTTTCCCGGCTCTCAGACGCTTTAAGTCGCGCTATTTCGTTTRTCTCGAAAGGAAATGACTTAACTTAATAWGAAGGKCACTATAGTATTAGAGTATTACAGTCGGTGACATTAAATTTACACTTCGTTACATCCCGATTGAAAAATTCGMGGGTRGTCACAAGTTTACAATTATCTGTCAATATTTAGCTTGTAAAAAGCACTCACCTTGYCTCACTATAAGAAAATCGACGCGAAAAATGAATGATATTAGGATGAACTGAACTTTTCGTGTAAATCTTCAAATCCTCAAATGATTTMATTTCAATGATATCACTATGGTAACACGTCAACTTTGTAATTAGAAGACCCCTGGAAGACGATGATAATGAGCTGTCAAGCTATTTCGACTTTATTCACTGAAGTCATAAGCTGTCCGACACTTTCACTCCTCGTACTCAGTACCCAATCATTATATTAACAAAGCTGTCGATGGTTCTGACTTTCAAAATGTCATGTCAGAATGTCATGGATTCTGCTTTTTATTGTTTCATTTCACCATTATTTCTTTTGGGGGGGTTWTAACGGTGAATGATTGACAGCACAAGATCACGTGATTGAGTAATTTAATAAATTTGCAGCGTATTCTTATCGTCTGTAAATTCAATCTAGTTTAATGTTTTTTCATTTACTCTAAACTTATTCACATGCTTCCATACATTGCAAGAATTGGGCTCCCTGCTTTATCACACGATGTGTTGCAAACTAAAATTTTGCCATAATCCCATAATCCTTTTCGATAATTCGACAGTTCAAGTTGAAGCATGTACGTACGAGTGAGATTAAAAATAAGGATTTAATGAACATGAATGAAATCAGACAGACCATCGCAACTATAATTCCTACATACAGACTAGCTACGACGTAGGGAACTCTATTGTCCTATGCGGTTTATAAAAACACGGGTTTTCTTGTGCCATATGAACTTTTTCGTTGTGCCATTACAGTTTTTTCCGTGACGTGTTTTCTTGAGCTACATGCAGATTTCTAGATTGACATGTGTACGATCTTGTCAGAGAATAGGACTTCTCTTATATTCAGTCACAACTAATCGTCTTGGTTTGTGATAAAGTATCAGCGACAGGAAATAAATACTACCATTGCGTCACATCATTGGAAAAATCGTGAGCCGTCACAAGCTCACAAGAATCTGTATATATTTAGGGGAGGTCTGCAACAAAGAATAACATAACTTAGCTTGTAAAAAGCACTCACTATAGACAAAAATATAAAAAAATAAAAAATATATATATAATGATGCTATAGAGATGTATTGAACTTTTCGTGTAATTCTTCGAATCATCAAATCATGAGTGCTTTCGTTTATATTTCAAATTAAATCACTGACCTGTCAAGCTATTTCGACTCATAATCTGTCCGAATGTTTCACTCCTTCGACACAGCGACTCAATCTTTTTTACTCAAAACTGTCCATGGCTCTGGCTTTCATTTCAAAATGTTGCACTAGAGGCATTGTCAAAAGATCATGGATTCTATATATTATTGTATTCATTTYTTATTATTATTTCATTTCATTTCACCATTATTTCTTATTACATGTTTGACGGCACAAGGTCACGTGACTGAGCAAATGAATAAATCTGCAGCGTATTCTTATCTTCTATAAATTCCGTCGACCAGTGTTCGTGTTGTGTTCAGATATTTTGACGATATCGACRGTTACTTGAATTKATAAAACTGTGAATTTATGTTATGTCGCGCTTTTTTTAATATGAAGTTGCTGCAAATAATATAAGAATTCAGCGGCCGAAAAGCTCTGGAAAATGTAAGAGAAATCAAGAAGTACCCTGTCAGCCTGTAGCAGTAAATACTGTAAACACCGTGTAGATATGAATATTCGTGAGACGCTGAAAGACGCCAAACAAAGCGCCCTCTACAAATTCAAAGTTTAAGTCTCACATAAAAATGGTCTTACAAAAATTATCTGCCAATATTTGAACAGGTCAACCTTTATAATACTGTAATGTCAAAATAGAGCGTAATAAAAACCAAAATAGATAATAAAAACAGGAAAAATACATATCATTTTTGTACGTTTATAGTGTCACCGACCGTTTTTGGTAGTAAGCAAGTAATGTTCTGTTTTATTCTTTTTACTTACTTACGAAGAAAATACAGGACAGTCTAAATGTTCGCGGTTCGCGGTACGGAAATATTACGGATTTCAATTCATTTATAGTCTTTACATTGTTTTTATTATTTTATTAATTAGAAAGATGTATTAATGTAAAAGCATCAAAGAGAACAAAAACGGATGTAAATACTGTTCTATATGTGCAATTTGTCTGTGAATGTCTTTTCTGTGCGTACGTTTTACAAATCTTGCATATCAAGAAATTCTAATTAGCAAACCATCTTCTCGTAGGGTCCCTGCATCGAATTCATTTGCGCTAGACTCAGCAAAGATTCTATTCGGGGTCGTAACATTTGTCCAACGCTCTCAGAGTTTCTAGTTTGAAAATATTTCATATAAATTATGGACAATCTGTTTTGGAAAGGACAGCGATAGAAACAATTTCATACAACCCAAGAAATCAACTAATTTCTTCTCAGTCAAAGCTATCAAGTATTATTTTTACCCTAAAAAGGAACTAGTTTCTTTTTATTCTATTCAAATTGATTTTTGCTTTTTACTTATTGACATTGAAAACTTTTTATACTAGTTTTTTTGTCCATCCAATCAGTTTTCTTTAGAACATTRTTTTTACCAATTAACTTATCATTTGGGTTTCCTGTGCAATTCAATTAATCCGCGCTTTCATAGTACAGCGGTATTTCCGCGCGTTCTAATGACGTCATAATCGTTAATCAAATCACTCGCCTGGTATCTTCGATACAGTAAGGAGGTAAGTRTACGTCTCCTTCATGAAATACCTATTGATCATTCTGAATGCATGAATTTCTTTTATTTTTCAGATTTGTAACTTCTTGTAACTCGATTCACACTTTTGATTCCGAACAATGGCTTCCGTTGGAGGAAAAAAGCATGTTAAAAGTAAGTATCGATTTTGATGGAAATATCTGACACGGGCACGTGATCATATTTATGATCATATTTTTCTAAAAGCGCTATTTTTGACTAACTTCAGCCAATGACGGACGACGACAAAGTCCAGAATCTGGACGACACAGTCCAAAATCGGTAAGTAAACTAGGAATATGGAAAATAGAACTTTT